TTCTCTATGCAAGCCGTACGAAGAAGGAGCATCCACATTCCCATAACCTTGTGGTTTGGGTCCTTTTTCAAGTGGAATATGTGCTTGAACTGCATATGGTCTTCAAACCACTCCTTCTCGCTCTTCGTCATAGGAATATCCAACCCTTTATCTAGTAGAGACAAAGTTTCATGGATATGGCACCTTGTCGATAGCTTTATCTTCTTGTTGTACTGACTCGGTGGGAAGTACATTCTTAACGGCTGCATTGGTGTCTCGTCGTCGGAATCCTGCAAAAAAACAGTAATATTGTCTTAGTTCTACCAGTTTTACACACACAGTTTTACCAGTTGTACCTAGTTTCACTAACACAGACAGTTCTACCATTTATACCCAAACGGTTGTACCCAGTTTTACCTAGTTTTACAACACAGTCAGTTTTACTTATAGTTCTACCAGTTTTACTTAACCAGTTCTACCGAGTTACACCTAATTTCACTACACTAACAGTTTTACAGCTAGTTCTACCAATATTACATAACAAGTTATACCTACTTTTAACGAAATACCATACATCAATTGAATCAAACACCAAATCGTTTTAGACCCTTACATCGTTTTCATTCGAGTTGGTTCCCGTGTTGGAGCTTTCCTCGTCATTATCTCCATCTTTCTCTTTAGAACCTTCTTCTTGTTCTTCTTCTTCTTGTTCATCTTCTTCTTGTTCTTCTTCTTCTTGTTCTTCTTGTTCTTCTCCTTCTTGTTCATCTTCTTCTTGTTCTTCTTGTTCTTCTCCTTCTTCTCCTTCTTCTCCTTCTTCTCCTTTTTCTCCTTTTTCTCCTTCTTCTTTTTCTACTTCTTCTCCTTCTCCATCTTCTCCATCACTATCCGATGAGGATCCTAGAGTTTCACTACTCTCCTCACCGTCTTCTTTCTCCTTCTCGCCGCCGGTCTCCTCCTCTGCCACAACCGCCGGCGCCTCACGGAAATCGGCCAATGCTCCTTCTTCCTCGTTTACTTCTGGAGTTATCTCTTTCTCCCCGGCCGGCGGAGAATTCTCATCCGCCGAGAGAAACTCTTCGTCCGCCGCTTTGTCTACTTCCCCTTCCCCAATGGGTTCTTCTTCGGCCGCTTTTGCTTCTTTTGCTACTTCCGCCGCTTTTGCTTCTTCGGCTTCTTCCGCCGGCGCCGATTTCTCTCCCAATGCTTCTTCAACCATTTCTTTCTTCTTTCCCCTTCTTGTTTCAACCATATTTCTTCCAATCAATGTCAATACTCAAGATGATACTCGATGATTGCTCAAAATGGAGAGAAACTGAGAAAAACTACTCGAATTCAAATCTGAGTTCTCGACACTTAGAGAGAAAAAGAGAAGAAGAAGAAACGGTTCGATTAGGGATTTCTCGTTTTTAATTTTTTCAAATTTTTGTTTTTTTCTTTTTTATTATTTCGGGTTTCTGGGTTATATTAATGGGTGGGTGGATATATCCAGGTTTTTGATGTAATAATATAGTTTTGACGAGGATACAGTTGTAATTGAAGTGTTTTTCGATTTAAATAAAAAACAAAAAACAAAGAAAGAATAGAAAGGGAGAATAGCGATTGTTCCTCCCCAAATAAGGGCACATCAATGGCGATTCGAACATTGTCTTCTCTTGTTCGTGCTCTGCATCAAACTCGTAAAGCTCGATCATTTCGTTTCTTTTCTACTCTTCTACACGATCCACCATCACCAGAGCTTGTGAACGAGATCTCCCGTGTTCTTAGCGATCACCGGAACCCTAAAGACGACCTCGAACACACTCTTGTCCCTTACTCTCCTCGAGTTTCGACGAATCTGGTCGAACAAGTTTTGAAACGCTGCAAAAATCTCGGCTTTCCTGCTCACAGATTCTTTCTATGGGCAAGGAGAATCCCAGATTTCGATCATAGCTTGGAAAGTTATCACATTTTGGTTGAGATTTTGGGTAGTAGCAAACAGTTCGCTCTGCTTTGGGACTTTTTAATCGAAGCTAGAGAGTATGGTTACTTTGAGATTAGCTCTAAAGTGTTTTGGATTGTGTTTAGAGCTTACAGTAGAGCTAATTTACCCAGTGAAGCTAGTAGAGCGTTTAGTCGGATGGTTGAGTTTGGGATTAAGCCTTGTGTTGATGATCTTGATCAGCTTTTGCATTCGCTTTGTGATAGAAAACATGTGAGTCACGCTCAGGAGTTTTTCGATAAAGCCAAAGTGTTGGGGATTGTACCGAGCGCGAAGACTTATAGCATTTTGGTAAGAGGTTGGGCTAAAATCCGAGATGCATCAGGTGCACGTAAGGTGTTCGCTGAAATGCTGGAGAACGGTTGTCCTGTGGATTTGCTTGCTTACAATGCACTTTTAGACGCTTTGTGTAAATCTGGTGACGTCGATGGAGCTTATAAGATGTTACAAGAAATGGGTAGCCTTGGACTTAAAGCTGACGCGTATAGTTACGCGATATTCATTCACTCGTATTGCGATGCGGGAGATGTTCACTTGGCTTATAAGGTTCTTGATCGGATGAAAAGGTACGAGCTTGTACCCAATGTGTACACGTATAACCATATCATCAAAACACTCTGCAAGAACGAGAAAGTTGATGATGCTTATTTACTGTTAGATGAGATGATTCAAAATGGGGCTAATCCGGATACTTGGACTTACAATTCGATAATGGCTTACCACTGTGATCACTGCGAGGTGAATCGAGCAACAAACCTTATGTCGAGGATGGATAGAACCAAGTGTTTACCGGATAGACA